TTAGTTTAAATTAGTGTAATATATTTTATGTTATATTCTATTTAATTTAGAATCATTTTACTTTTTTTACTTTATTTTACTTATGTTTGTATGTATACATTTTTTATTTGTAGGATAATTTAAGAACTTCGCCTACGTCATTCGGCCCCCGTCATATCAGCATACAGATGTTTGTACATTGCTACATGTGCACATATACATATATATTTATTTTGAATTCGTTGCTGACGTCGCGTTCCAATTTCATCCTGCTACTCTATCGAATAATTTGCTCCCTTTCATTCTTTCCTCACTCCCCATTCTTCATTATTACATTCGGAGGAAATTTTCCATCAGCCAATTCCGCTTAACTAACTGTACATAGTGCAATTACAACAAAAATATTGCAGCTAGTTAATTTTTTGTCTACGTACATATACATATATATATTTGTATGTATACATACATACATACACGTATATGTATGTGTTGTTCTTATTGTGAAAAACTAGGGCAATGGCAAGGATGTTGCTGACGCTTTCAATATGGCACACGATTGTATATACTTATACACTTGTGTGCATATATATATATGTGTGTGTGTATGTAAAATAGTATGTTCAATGCTGATGGCCAAATGGTTTTGTATTTTGCATTTGTTGTTGTGCAATTGTGAATTTTTGCGGTTATTGTACTCCTCAACAACAACAACTCTATTCCGTTCATTGAAGTTGAGTTTAATGTTGTAATTGCAAATTTTAAGTGGCTCTGCGTGTGTGTGGGTGCAATTTACGAGCTCTGTTAATATTCGGTAATTATCGTTATGTACTATATCAAAGCCAGGATGTCATCGTCCAATCTCACCCAGCGCTCCGCTCAATCATAATCTCTTCCCAGGTTAAAATTTCGCCCAAAGAAAATCCCCACGCTCACAAATCAGCGACGTAGTAAGTAGTCTCGCTGGCTGCGCCGAGCCTATTGCATACCCGCCATAGCTGTTACAAATTACCTGTTCAATTTGTTGGTCAACCAGCTGACCGAGTATACGTACGACCGACTTAACTGTGCATTTTCTCGACCGCTATGCACTCTTTCGGTTATTGCGTCATTAATGCCATCCATCCTTGTCTAGGCGAGCATGTACGGGTGTGTGTGTGTGTGTGTGTGCATGTATGTGTTCTACTTAGTTATGCTTTTTCTTCCTCTTCTCCACCTTCTTTTATAACACAAGTGCCTTTTACGCTTGAAATCACGCACGTTTTGTGTGTGTGTGTGCGCGCAAAAGTTGTGGGGCGTGGCTACATTGCATGCACTTTGCGAGTTACGGTTCAGCGAGCAGCTGGCGAAATTAAGGACAACTTCTTTCTTGAGTTGAGTTGAGTTGAGTAGAGAGTTCATGCGGAAGAGGTTAAATAATATCGTTTTCAGATGAAGAATAGGTGGGTAGAAGTGGGTAAAGGTGCATCTCTGTGTGTGTGACTGAACTAAAAGGGGTCAAGAGAGAAAGTGAAAACTTAGAATATCATTATTGGACCTCAAAGTTCGCCAGCGTTTATATACCGGCAGGGAGTACGTGTTTTCCTGATAAAAAATTAAAAATTGCTCTGCTGATGAGTCAGCCTGTGTCCGCGGCCCCGAAAATATATCTCTCACTCAGCTAAAATTTTGGGCTATTTACCAGATTTGGGGTCATATTAGCTCCGTCATTTTCATCTTAGAGGATGCGTGTCTTCTAGGGTTCTGGTATTAGGTAGAGAGTGTCGTTAGATTTGCGGCAGTTCAAGGCCCGGCATATGTCTCTCTGGTGTCGAAAAATTTTTAACTGAGCAATAATCCCACGTCTGTTATTTCCCGTTGTAAGGGTTCATCTACTCAGATAAGATGTATTTCTCAAAAATGTGAGAAGTTTCACAACAAATTAGATTTATTGCTCGGTAGTAAGTTTAGGAAACGAAAATATTGGTTCGTCGATTACGCAGATAGTGGGTCCTTATAAGTCTTCGACGTTGGAGTACTAGGCATTTTGGTGCACTGAGTACAAGAAAACTTCGTAAGTTTCCGGGATATTTTTGATTGCTTTTTATGAGCGCTACAGCTCAGGTTTAGCATCATCAAACTCAACGCAAAATCCTTCAGCACCTGAACACCCTATTGTCTACGGCTTTCCCTCACAACCAATACAATTCACCAGCACACTCTGCAATCTAAGAAGTCTACTTTTGTATCAAAGTGTGGAAACTGGAGGGAGAACGAAGAACAGATGCGAAATTGCTCAATCAGTTAAACCAACTGCGAGCCAACGAAGGGACGGCAGAATTGATAGTGTACGCCTACAGTTTGTGAGGATATGCAAATGGTAATGTATTTTTTGTAGTTGATTTACAACTTAGATCGCGACAACAATGAAATTCATATTAGTTATGCCACAAATGAGAACTAAATAGTGCGCTCTCCATTGGTGTGAGGTCATACAATTTCAAGGACTTTGAATGACAAATTCACTAAACAATCGCCAAGCGTAATATTAAGTACACAAGGACATACCAATACATTGCGAGGGTGAGCAAGAGAAACCGTACTGAGAATATTAGCTAGAGCAAGAAAGAGTGGCATACTAAACGAGATGGAGACGTAGAGGAATAATGTAGGTAATGAAGACATTCATGAAGGTAAAGGATATGGAAGAGTGAGCGTTGAGAGAGAGAGCCCTCTGGGGGGAATGTGAGAGTGAGAGTAAACCAAGTGTTGGCACAAATATATGGCCACCCTCTTGACGGAGAGTGAGAAACAAACATATCATGCAGCCAAATGTAGAACGCGAAATCTAAATAAGCATTTGTTGTGCTATTAATAATTATACATATATATATTTTTATCTGTATGTAGCATCTCCTAAGTTCATAAAATAGTTTGTACAAGCAATTACTATTTTTTAATACTGTTTTACTAGCGCTTGAAAAGAGATAGTTGAAATTAAATAAGACAAAATATATTTATTATAAAAAAAAAAATTAAAAATTATTTAATAAAAACACAACAGATTAAACATGAAAAATAAAATAAATATAACAATATAAATAAAATAAAGTAAAACAAATAAAATAAAATAAAATAAAATAAAATAAAATAAAATAAAGTAAAATAAAATAAAATAAAGTAAAATAAAATAAAATAAAATAAACTAAACATATAGAAATTAAAATTTTAACTAAAACCAAATATAGCAAAATAATAAGAGAAAATAAGATACTTTAAACTAAGCAATAGGAAGTAAACCAAAAACAAAAAATTAAATAAACAAAAAAAAAATTATAATAATAAAATGAAAGAAGAAATAAAAATAATCAAAAAACATAAAATAACAAATAAAATGTTATAAAATAACCTAAATGGAAATAAAACTGAAAAAATAATAACAAAAATTAAAAAAATAATAAATAAAAAAAATTTACTAATTAAAAAAAAATAAAAAATAAAACTTAAGTAAAATGTAAAAAGTTAAACATAAAATAAAACACCATATAATAATTTAAGTAAAAATATACAAATTAAATAAAATGAAAATGATTATTTAAAAAAAAAATAATATAAAATAAAACAAAGTAAATATATCAAAAAAATTTTACTAAGATAAAAAAGTTAAACAAAGTAACACAAAAAAAATTATTAAAATACCTAAAGTGAATCTAAATAAAGTAAACTTAATAAAATAAAGTAAAATAAAATTCTATGAAAAAATAGAATATATAAAAAAATTAAGTAAAGGAGAAAAATTAAATTAAGGTAAACATATAAAAAAAAAAATAAAAACAAAAAAATTAAAAAACAATTAATTTAAAAATTAAATCAATTATTATAAAAAGCTAAATTAATAATAAATAAAATAAACTAAAATAAAAGTCAAAATATTAAAAAATTAGGGAAGTTAAAACAAAGTAATATAAATTTCTATTAAAACAGAATATTGAATGAATTTAAGAAAAAAAAAAAATAAAATAAAAAGGATTAAAATAAAATTAAAGAAAATAAAATGATGTGAAATGAAATAAAAAATTAATAAAATAAAATATAATAAAATGAAATAGAATAAAAAAGAAACAAAATATTTTAAAATATAAAATTAAAAATAAATAAAATAGAAGAATATAAAGTAAAAATAAAAAAAAAAATAAAAAAAATTTAAATAAAGTAAAAAATAAAATTAAATTCAATTAGAACAGAATAATGTAAAATGAAACGAAATAAAATAAATAAATATAATAATAAAATAAATTGAAATTAAAGAAAATAATATCTAAAATAAAACAATACAAAATTACATAAAATAAAATAAAAGGATGTGAAATGAAAAAAAAAAAATAAAGTAAAAAAATGAATAAAGACAGAGATACTAATTTAATATAAATAAAAAGTAAGCAAAATAAAATAAAATTCAATTAGAAAAAAATAAAGAAAAAAAATATAAGAGTATAAAATAAAATAACATAAATTAAAATGAAATAAAAACACAAAACACATTAAATTAAAAAAAAAAAAAACAAATATATAAATTAGTAATATAAAATAAAAATTAAAAAAAATTTAAAAATGAAGAAAAATAATAATAAAATTCAATTAGAACAAAGTAGTATAAAATGAAATGAAATAAAATAAAATAAATTAAAATAGAATTAAGTAAAATAAAACAATATAAATAGAATAAAAAAAATTCAAATAAAATATAATAATATGAAATGCAATACAAAAAATGAAATAGAATAACAAAATTAATTGAAATTAAAAAAAATAAGAGAAAACAATAAAAAATAATATAAAACAAAATAAAAAGATGTGAAATAAAAAAAAAACTTAAGTAAAAAAGAAATGAATATATACAGAGATATTAATTATATATGAATTAGGATAAAATAGATACCCATATATACAAAGGTATTTAATGTACTTCGCAAATATAGCTTTATTCACTCTTTTGATGACTTTTATTCTAACTACACATACAAAAAATGTATCTTCTCACTCACCTCAAGATAAACATCACTGTCCGGATTGAAGGTGTCATTCACCCGTTGAAATGTATAATTCACATGTGGTATTGAGTGCAAAATGCGCACCAATATGCTGGGTTGCTCCATTTTGTTGCTACAATATTCACGCTATAGCTGTACGAGTGTGTGTATGTGTGTATGTATGTGTGTTGTAAATATGCTGTTTGGTTATTTTCTATGGTTATTTAAATTTTAGCTAACTGTATTTATTTGCACACCATTAATTACAACACCAAAATTTACTTGTTTCACCAACCACAGCAAAGTGGACATTTCACGCCGCGCGTCTGTGTACTTTTGACGCATAGAAAATAAAACAAAAAAAAATACGAATATAGGATTGTTTTTTTTTTTTTAATATCAAAAAAAAAGTAAGTTTTCTAATTCCGACTTTTGACGTCACAATATTTTTACGCACTCAAGCAGCGGAGAGAAAAAGAGCGCGTGACTATGTTGTGAGTGCGCAAGAGAGCGTCGTTGATTTATTTCGCTTGCTGTTTTTTATTTGTGTGTATGTACGGTTTGGAAAACGTGCTACTGCGTTATTTATGACTTTTTTAACACAATTTATTTCTATATTTTTTTGCTCACTCTCTCTTTTTCTATCTCTCTCTCTCTCTCTCTCGTCCTCACTACAGCAATTAATTTTTAAATTTATTTTTGCACTTAAAGTGTAGCAGACTTTTGGGCGCTCTGACGTGTGCGTACTTTATGCATATAATTTATTTTTTTTTTGCAGTAAACCTTAGTTTATTTGCAAGAAATTTAACTTTTTCACACTTAAACGTTAAATTTTTTACCACAGTTCAGCATATTTTTAGGCGCACCTGATTTTAAAAATTTGTTTAGTGGTTAATTTTACGCGTTGCTAGCAATTTCGAAACACTTTTTAATCTCATTGTAATATCTAGAATATTTTTAATTAACGGTTGCTGCTTTTTAAGCGCCTGCCACACTTATAGCACATTATTATTTTTTTTTTCAAATTTACACATTAAATTTTTGCTCTAAATAGCTATTTTTACTGAATTTCGTTTAATAATTTCTAATTTTTTGTTACTCTTATAAATCGTCGCATATTTTTGTGAGTCGCAAATTTTTTTGGCTTAATTTTTTTACTTGAAAAATAACTTTTTTTTGATACTTTAGCTCATAAAATTCGCTTCACTTTCTCCTTACTACAGCTTTATATAATATGTTGCGTACGCACGTTGCCTGAATATTATTAAGCACACTTTTAGGCGTTAACCTGTCGATTTTTTTTGCTGTCAGCAGTGCTCAGCTGTTTTCTGTAGCATTGAAATATTTTTTTTTTTTGCTTTTGCTTTTGCACTTCAGGCTTTAATCGACAACTAAAGCAAATTTTCAGGCGTTAGGCCTTTTTTGCTGCAGCGCGCTATTCACGTGACACACAAGCAGCGTAGACACTTGGACACATACACATACCCCTCCAATGGCATGTGGGGAATTCGAAGGATGCGCTGCTATCGGAGACTTTAAACTTTCGCTGCAGTTTACACTTTTTATTGCCTCATATAAACATTTATATACATATATTTAACATGTGCACCGTAGCTAAATATATAAGCTTGTGCTTTAGACGTATTTCACAGTCGCTAAAGTCGCTGGTGTCTATTTTTGTTTTTGTTTTGCTGCGACGCACATCATCCTTACCAGGCCATCCTGTGTGGTGTGGAAACGCTACAGATGTCGTCCTAATATCTCTGCCTTCGCCTGCCCCAACACGTTCCACAATTTCCACGCACGCCGCACGAGTCGTCGTCGTAGCCGTTGTCGTTGTCGTTGTCGTTATCACCACTGCGCGCACCCGTTCCCAGCTGCACTGCTGGGGAGTTTAGGTCCTGCCGCCGTCGTTCCGCCACCGTCTCGTACGCGCGCACTCGTTTCTCGTTTGTGTGTGCTAAATTTTCACTTTCGTTTTCACACCCAAAATTTTTTTTTCTACTTTTTTTCGGTAAGCTCAACTAACGACAACTAGACACTACAAAATCAAATTTGCACGTTTTGCAATGATTTTTATGCGTTTCATAATAAATTTTCACTACATATAATTTCTCGAATATTTTTCCAAGTTTTCACATGAATTTCTTCACTATTTTTCTCTAACCCGCACATAAGATTTTGGCTTCGCTACGCTGCGTTGCTCGCAAAAACTTGCATCCGCTTACAATGGTTACCGTTGACAGCTTCCTTCGCTGTGCTGCTCAATTCTGTCAGTGACTGCTGTTTGGCGAGGCTCCACAGCCACAATTGTACAACGGCAGGCAGCGAGGACTTGCTGCAGTCGCTTGCGCTCAGCGATGGCTTGAGAGCGCTTAGCACTCACTTAAATCACTCAATTTGCTTCACACACTCTCGCTCTCGCTCGCTCTTACTTTCTCTGTCGAGTCTTTTCTGCTGTGAATATGTAATTGTGAATGTGTAATTCACCACAGTCTTATGACAACCGAAAGTCCTTCAGCTTGACTTGGTAATAAACTGTGGGCTATTTATATATGACAGCATGTGTGTGCATGTGTGATTCGCTTACTCGCTTTGTTTCTCTCACAAACGTCAATTTGACAATTGATTTCTTGCAATTCTGACAGTGATTGTCAGCTGTCTGTTGTGTGTGGTGAATTTAGCGAGCTAAGTGTGGCCAACTGGTAGTTAGATAAGCTGTAAAGAGATATTAGAATATATTTTAATAATGAAAAGTAGTGTTGAAATGAAGAAAAAAGTTGTGAATGTAAAAATCTTAATTCCTACAGAAAGATGGAAAAATTTAAAAGTATAATTTTAAAACTATTTAAAAACTATATCCGTTATTAAAAAAAAAAATAAAAACTAAATTTTTTTGGGAAAAATAAGTCAAAATAAAAAAAGTTAAAAACCGTGAAATATAAGAAAATACATTTTTTCAACTATAAAAAAGTCCAGTGGTCCCTGAGTTGATACCTTGCCCACCTGTTTAGACTTCCCGAGTGTTACAGCGAAATTGCCATGCCCAGGGATATAAGCGCATCGGACTAGCTCGTAATGCACTCCGTACGCCGATGAGAGTCATGAGTTTAACGGTAAATAGCCATTTGGCGAAAACATCTCAACATGTGATTTCCAACACACGGTAGGTAAAAAAGGTTGCTTCCTTGCCGGTTACGGCCCATTTGTACTATAAAGCGAACAATGCTTTTTTCTATCCTTTGCTATTCTTTAGGAATAATTTTTTTTGTAATCTGAAAAAAATTCTTTATGCAAAAAAAAATATTTGAACAATTGCAATTTTCAAGCGGCAAAGCGCCGCCTTTTTTAATTTTTTTTAGTTGTATATCCAAATATTTTGGAAAGCCAGTTTGGAAAGGAAGTAATGAATTTAAACTCAAGATATATTAATTAAAAAAAATTAAAAAAAAAATTAAATAAAAAAATTAAATAAAATAAAGACAAATAAAATGTAAACAACATAATAAAAATAAGTAAATAAAATCGAAAAATAAAATTTAATAATACGGAGTGAAATGAAATAAAATAAAAAAAGAAAAATAAAAAAAAATAATATAAAGAAATAAGATAAAATAAAATAAAATGAAATAAAATAAAAAAATAATGGAAGATATAAAATAAGATAAAAGATATATTGTATTATATTGATGTATTATAATAATATCATAACATAAAAAATAAAATAAATTAATATAAAACAAAATAAAATAAAATGAAAAATAAACACAATAAAATAAAACGAAATGAATCAAAAAAATGACAAAATATAATAATAAAGAGAAATTAAATAAAATAAAATCAAATAAAAGGAAATAAAATAAAATAAAGTAATTAAAAAAAAAATAAATAAATTTAAAAAATAAAAAATAAATAAAAAAATATTGAAATCAAATAAAATAAGATAAAAATATATGTTATATTAATATATAATAATAATATCATGGCATAAAGAATAAAATAAAATAAAATGAAAAAACAGAATAAAATAAAACGAAATGAAACAAAATAAAATAAAAAAGAACAAAATGAAATAAAATACAGAATTAATAAAGTAAAATACCAAAAAGAAATAAACCAAAATAAAATAAAATAAAACATAATCATTGAGAAAAAAACAAGATAAAATATACTAAAATATGGTCTAAGATAAATTAAAGTAAATTGAAATAAAAAGCGAGAAAATAAATAAAAAAACAGACTCATCAAAAAAGATTAGCATAAAATAAAATAAAATAAAATAATGACATAAGAAACGTGAGTAAAATGAAATAAAATAAGTCAAACTATATTAAAACAAGTTAAACTAAAACTAAATATATAGAAAATAAGATATTTGAAATAAAATAAATATTATCACTTTATTTATTTAATTCTTTTGATAAAAATATGTATCATAAAAATTTGTTTAACTAATTTTACTGATTTAGATGAGACTACGCTTTGTATGTTTGCATGTATTTCATAACATTTAACTGCAATTGCTTGGCAAGTTGTTCATAAGAATCAGAAATATTATATATTTCTTCTATATTCTTTGGTTTCTATATTTTTTTTGGGTTACTAAGAAACGTCTGTTTTCTGATGCATAACGCTACAATCACTTACATTTTCATTTATATCATATAAGTATTTATTTACAATTAAATATGATCTCATGTTCGGTCATTTGCTTGTTTACAATGAATAAAGCAATAAATAGAATTTCACGTTGGTGAAAAAAGCCATATGAAAGGGTTTGTGTGGATATTCCTGCGTGAACTACTAATGATTATTTATTTATTATAAATAATATATAAATATTCTTAAATTTCAAATCGAGTATTTTTTCCTAAAAATTTTTAAACTGAAACATAATCAGCACAACAGTGTATAGCACAAAAGTGCAACAAACATAAGTTATAAAATTATATATACACAAAAAAATGTAATAAATAGGTGCTAATCTGATTTGTTACCGGCTTTTAGTTAGTTAGTAATTAGTTACAAAAAGTTAATGATTAATGCTAAGAGATTTTCAAATTCAACTGTAAAATAAAATTGAAATACTTAAATGGAACACTTAAACAGCATAAAATCGAACTTAAGTATGAGATGCTTATAGAGGAAATTGTTAGGAAAAAATATAAAAACGTTTATTAAATAAAATAAAAACAGCAACTGGGTCACTACTGATTATTCTGCTGAAATAATGCACACGAAATAAATGCGGCAAGGAAAATCAGCTTGAAAACTTAGTAAATAAGGATAATATAAAAATGATATTATTTTATATTGTTATAACCATGTATGTTATAACCATATGAACTTGAAAAGCTTTTCTTAATATACTAAATTAAAAAAAATGTTAAAAAGTATATCTAGATATTTACATACATATAAGATTACTAATAATTTTAAATGCCATCACATAACTCTAAAAGGTAGTAACAGCTATTTTTATGCTACCAAATACGACTGATCACCAAATATTCAGGCTTCAACTGCCAAAATTTTGGGTAAAATATATACATATTTATTTATAAGTTGCTCCGTAAGTAGCAGACAACGCAAGCTGATGTCAAATAGAAATTAAAAAAAAATTAGCAAAATGAAGTATCTCTATTCTCTATTTCGTATCATTTATTTTTAATATGAATATTTTTTTTATTTATCATTTCATTTGCTCTTAGTTTGGCATAATTTCATTTTTTATATAATATATGATACATTTTTGTTAAATTTTTTTTTAATTTCACTTTATTTTTATTTTTTATTATATTTTTAATTTTAATATGTTTTTTTTACAATCTTTTTATTTAATTTGCTTAAATTTTACTTTAATTTAATTAATTTTTTTGTCTAGCTTCAACTAATTTTGCTTATTTATATTTAATTTCATTTGATTTCATTTAACTTAATTTCATTTTATTTTAATTTTTAATTAATTTATGATAAATTTTTGTTAATTTGTTTTTAAATTTCATATTATATTTCGTTTAATTTACTCAATTTTTAATTTTAAAATTAATATTTTTTTTATTTTAATCTTTTTTTTAATTTGCTTTAATTTTACCTTAACTTAATTTATTTTTTTTTAACTTCAACTAATTTAGTTTGTTTAAATTTAATTTGATATTTTTCACTTAATTTAATTTTATTTAATTTGTGTCTTTAATTTAATTTATTTCATTTTATATTTTATTTTTTTTATTTTAATTTATGGTATTTTATTTCATTTTAATTTAAAATATTTAATTTAAGTTTTATTTTTATTTTACTTTGCTATAATTTATTTCTTCTTAAATTATGTGTTATGTTATTTATAAATTTTCAATTTATTAAATTTTTTTAATTACATTTAATTTATTGTATTTTTCATGTTGTGTATTTTTTTATAAATATTTATTATAAATTTTATATTATTTCATTTTATTTTCATTTACTAATTTATGTACTTTGTTTAATTTTATTTCTTTTTTAAAAATATTTCCTTTCCATTTTGTTTAATTATTGTTGTAATTTTTTTTTATTTTATTATTATTACTTTTCATTTATTTATTTAATTTAATTTAGTGTTATTTTTCACATAATTTTTTATTTTATTTCATTTAAATTAATTTAATTTTACTTTTGTTCAACATTTTTTTGTTTAAATTTCAATTTCTATTGCTCATTACTCACTTATCAGTCACACAAACAATAATTGCTCACGATCAGTACCTGCATACTAATTTATTTACTGAAATTTGTTGTTTTTATTTTTATCTATTTACTAGTTTTTCTCGTAGCAAAGGCATGCTGTCGCCGGCATAATAAATGCTGGAACGTCGAGGCAAACGACTTTAACAACAATTGAAGCACGAAAAGCACATACTCACGTATATCTTGTGTACTAGCCATAAGTACATATATACGAAAATATTATATATATATAAATATATGTACATATATGTACTCATACAAATATTAATAAGCACATTGGATGTGTACATAATTATGTATCTTTTGCGCAATTGCTACCAGTAAACATGAAGTGATGCGAAGTATCTTTGAATTAATAGTAGATTAAGAGAGCAATAATTCTTTTACTTCTATATGTTTTTTTTTTTTTTATAAATTTGATCTATTTTCCTGCGAGACTTGCGGTGGTCGCAAAACACTTGATTAAACAATAAATAGTGCCGACTCACTTTGAAAGTAAACAAAGCCCGCGAAGATTTTAATTTTTCTTATATTTTTTGGGTTTTAAAATTGTTGTTGTGTTGCATTGAAAAATGTATTTCCAATTTCATTCATCCCTCGTTTAATTTTCTTTTTTATTCTGGTGCGTAAAAGCTTTCGATATATTGGAAGAGAGAAGGGATTTATTTCTGCAGAAAGCTAAGCAGAAATAATATTCAAACCGCAAGTTTAAAAAAAAAATAATAATAATGGGAGAATTAATTTTTTTGTATTTATTCAGTTTAATTTAATTTCATTTTGTTATTTTATATTTGCTTTTACTTCTGTTATATTATTTTGTCTTAATTTCTACTTTCTTCTTTCATGGCATAAACACCGCTTACGCGATTATAGCCGAGTTTATAACATTGCGCCATTCATTTCTTTTTTTTTCACTGTTTGACGTCAATTGGAGATACCAAGTAGAGCCAGGTCATTCCCGACCTGGTCTTTCGAACGGATTGGTGGTCTTTCACTACTTCCACCGACGGGTACTGCATCGAAAACTGTCAAAACTTGAGATTCTTGGCCTAGCCAGCGTATTCGCTGCTTCTTAATTAACTGCCGTATATCTCCTACCAAACGGCTCGGAGAGGTCCTTCCAGATGCTGGCAAAGCTTTTAGTGTTGGCTAAGGTCAGTTTACGTAGACGTATAAGTTTTTCGGGGTTAGCAAATTCAGACAGAGCGGCGTAGAGGCAGCTTCTTTTCGTGCTTTTGAAGGCCTCTTTATAATCAAGGAAGAATTGGTGTGTGTGGATCCTCTTTTCGCATGTATTTTCCAAGATTTGGTGAATATCTTAACAACGGTTGATTTACCAGGTCTAAAGTCACACTGATATGGCCCAATCAGTTTGTTGACGGTGGGCTTTAGTCTTTCACACAATATGCACAAAAGAGCCTTAATAACCCATACATTAAGGATAATTGGCACAGATTGTGGGGCTAACTTTTTTATGGATTGGACAGAGTACATTTAGGTCTCAATCGTCGGACATGCTGTCGCCTGGCTCTATTCTTCACGGCCATGGCCGTAAGTTTCAGCCCCTTTGTTTTCTTTACGCGGGCAATCGCTATTTGATTTCATTTTTATTTATTTCATTTTATTTAATAAAAAATATTTTTTTTTTTAATAAAAATGATTACTTTTTATTTAATCAATAATTTTTCATTTAATTTAAATATTTTATGTATTTATTCATTTATTTTTACTTTATTCCAGTTTTGTGGATTTTATTTAATTGTTTATTTAGTTTAGTTTGCGAATTTTAGTTAATTTTATTTTATTATTGTTTTATTTGGTTTTATGCAATCAAATTCTATACCTCTTCAATTGTATTTTATTAGAAGTTTTTAATTTTTTCGTTTATTTTACTTTAATTCATTTTAATTTCATTTCATTTAGAGGTTTAACTACTTAAAGTTTATTTTATTTTTTATTTCAGTGTGATTTACCATTCTCTGTTTAATTAATTTTGTTCTATTTTATTTATTTTCACTATTAAATTATTATTTATTTTTTTTGTTCCTTTTAATTTTTATTTTTCTTAATTTAATAAATTTTTTTTGCTTTACTTTATTTTTAAGTCTATATGTTATTTTACGAATAACATACTTTATATATTTTAATTTTTGTCGTATCTTAATTTACAAATATTTATATTTGATAATATTTCATTGAGGTTAGCACTGCCATTATGAAGGCCAAGGTTTGAGTCCTGGTTCTACCAACATATAAAATTTACTAATTGCGGCCGCCAATTGTTTTTTTAGTGCACTTCTGATATCAAATAGAAGCTCTTCATAAAAATCCAACGGCCGTTGGTGGTTTTGAACAAACTAGAGGTTCATTCATTTATTCGTAAAACATCAACAAATTGGACAAGAAGCTCGGCCGAAAATCGCTTCAGTGGTTAGAAGGCTGTAATTAAATATTCTTATTTATGGTTTTTTTTATCTAAGCTAAATTCTGATTTATTTTATTTTCATTTAATTTTATTCTATTTGTTTCGCTTTTATTTTTTATTATTTGGTTTAATATTATTTAATTTAATTTTATTGTAAATTCTTTCATTTTATTTTACTTTAATTATTTTCTTCAATTCCCATACTATTGGTTTCTGCTTTCAACATATCCTGTAAACAACCACTGCTGGTCGCACAACTGCATTCCCCTCTCACGCACTCCATATGCTACCCACACAATTGTGCACTGATATACACACACGCACCCATAGCCATGCATAAAAAGTGAATGCTGCTTATTTACTGTCACATTGACGGCAAAATAGTGGCAAAAGATGTTTAGAAAAAATGTTAGACCTTTTGTCAGATTTTTTATCCAACTTACACTAAATTTACAGTTGTTTGTACAATTTGCTCAATTTTCTTGGAACACCATATCGTTTGAAGTATTTGCTTTCATTAAAATCAGTCGATTTCGTTAGAATAACCGTGGCATGTACCTTGACGCCGCCGTTCTGTCGCTGAAACTTCACATTTCGTTTTCGTTTAAAGTTTTTTTTTTTACGCGAACCTATACATATCGATATTTAATTGAATAATTTTTCAGTAAACAAATTACTTATTCTTCAAGTATTTTACTATAAAACTCGCATTTCATTCAATTCAATTCAGAAAAATTTTCTGCTTTTCTGCAATTTTCCCAGAGCGCTTTTTTATTTGTATATGCAGTGTGTAGTTTTTCACGTATTTTGTTGTTGTTTCATATGTAATATGGTTATTATTTTTTTGCACATTTCTTACTTTAAATTATTATATTTTCTTTTGCTTCAGTTGTTTTTGTTTGTGTGTTTTATTGTATTCGCTGTAGCGCTACGTTAACGCGCTCACACTCGTTTTTAACGTTCGTGCACGACGGCGACCGCTTCGAAACTCTTTTGCTCAGCCAACATTTGGCTACATTTTTCCCACAATTTGTTTGTATATCCCGTCGCTTACTTGCTGATAGTTTTCACTACTATTTTACAAAGTGTTGATATACATACATACAAACGAAAACACCAGCATTCTAACCGACATGAGTTTGCGACTTTAGCAACCCTGCAAACAGGTTCCGCATTTTTGTTTACACTGCGTGTGCGAGTGAGATGACTATAGTGCCAAGGCAGCCTAATAAGGCGAATTTACTTCAGCGAGTATTCGCTCGTCTCTACTAGTTGGCTTTGACAGCTGGAATTCTTTATGAATTTTGGCGTCAGCTGATTTTGCTTGCATTTTTTTAAGTTAGTGGAGATCTCAACCTGAAAATTCGGATTTAAAAGATATAGAAATATCAAATTTAGTAAGAGCTGTTCGTTTTATAGCTCGCCCCTGAAGTGATTTGCGGTCGAGTTCCTTCCCCGATTTTTAGTGTGCATCTTGATATTTTTTTGTTCTATACTTTATCTAAGCCGTCCCCGAAGAGTTGCAGGATCTTTGTAAGAAGCTTTTGATTTAATGTCGCAACTACACTTGTATAGGTTGATATTCCCTGCCATGGGGAGTGGCAGATCCGAAATTGAATTCTAATCTGGTGCTTACGAAGCACTCAGCGGTTTCAAATATTCGAGATATTCTTTCTTTCGATCTGTTGGAGGTTTGTTCTTTATATTACATATATTTCTAAAAAATTACGAATTTGCATAAAGTCAGCAAGTTTTTTTTAAATCAAAGGAGTGGGGAAGATGATACGCTAGCGCTGTCGGAGATTGGAAATATTCAGAGTCTTACCTTCGTGTAATGCCGTGGCCGTCCTCCTCCTCGCCCTGCATTGTCTTTCACTTCGAATAATTTCTTTGATGAGAATTCTTCATCTATTATACTACAGTAAGACCGAAAAGTAGAGGCAAACGTTGAATTGTGATACCTTGCGGTTGCAGTTTGTGGTTATTCGGAATATAATAGCAAACCGAAGACAGCAACCTATTTAAGCAAAGCCTCAACCCTTCTTCACATAAATTTGACGTCAACATACTAACGGCATTTGCTTATCATATGGAAAGCTTCGCTTTCAAAATAAACGCGGCGCAGCGATGGTAAAAGAAATAAACATTCTTTAGAAAATAAATGTTCCTGGTTTATTCACTTCGCGTCTTATTAAACTACAATCTCTTGGTCATTTCATGAAAAACATGGATAAAATATTAGTAAAGAAATCTTAATTTAATGCGTTGATTATATTTCAGGGAAGGCGCTGCCAATCAAATGTTTACCACGATAACGCCAAGTATAGGTGACAATGCCGAACCGCTGATTCCCTAGCGAGACAGGACAAGAGCGATCTGGACGCAGCTGGAAGCAGACGGTGTACAAAGCCAACTCCAGTTCGGGTGAGGTGCCAGCGAAGACGCCATTAACTGGTTTATTCACGCCCTTGTGAGTGAAGCGTACTTTGAGGACTTTGGCTTTCTGTAAGGGTGGAAGGTAAAAGCGCGTAAAAATGAGTACCAAAACGTAGTGAGTTTTATAGAAAAGAAAATATTTGCAGTGAAGTTCTTAAATAAAAGTGTGATAAAATTGTCTCACATTTCCCAAGTCGATTTGATGGAGATAACCTTTGTAGTCCAGGCGGCCTGCCTTCTCCTCATCAGCAAAGTATACCCAATTGTGTAGACCAATCAGTGTGCCATTCTTCACCTCATGCACGAAGACGTGTTCAAAGCCCGAGCTGCCGATGCGTCCTTGACCGCGTGAATATTGTGTGAACCAGAGTTCTTTCACAAGGTCACGATGAGTTTTGGGATCAGGCGAAACAATACCTATGGAAGAGCAGAGGGTATTTTTATTCACATGCAAATGAAAGTGTGACGACCACCTAACCTTTATTCTGCAGGAAAAGCATAGCTTGTCGCATTACTGGTGTGCTCATGACAGCATCTACAAATTCATTCTCTTCACGACGTTCGTTGACGGTGACATGTTCATTGGTTAAGGTATCTTCTTCATAGTTATCGAAAAGTGCACGCATTTTGGCGACTGTGGGATTTTCAAAGGCACGGGGTTCGACTTCAAATAGTCTATAGAAAGCAATATATTGAATAAAAAGTGTAAAATTCTTCATGAATTTATCGTAATTCAGACGTGGAATAATAATATAAATTGTTTTGTAGTACTTACGGTTTGGGGGCTTCGTCTGTGCTGTCAATTGATCTCGTCTTGCCTTGTGGATCGACATGTACGAAATTTAACAAGCTCTGCTCTTTGGTATACAGCTGCTCCGTGAGTGCGCGTATTTCATCATCACTAGCAACTGAGCTACCAGTGGAACCACTAGCGGCGCCAGGTCTTGCTGTAGTCGATGGTCCCGGTACATGGGGAACAAATGAGACACCAGTACCTCCAGACGCGGGAGAACCAGGTCGTGTGGGTGTGGAAGGTGTGGGTGATTGTGGTGTTATGCTGCCACTGCCAGGTCGCGCTGGCGCCGATGGTGTTGGAGAACCCCACGCAAAGGTAGGTGTAGGTTGTGCGCCGCCGGGTGTAGATGGGCGCAAAGGTGATGCTGGTGTTGGGCTACCTGGTGAACGAGGTGTTGGCAGCGGTGGAAAATCTTCTTTAACGCTAACCGAAGGACGACGTGGTGGTGGTAGTGGTGGATATTCATCTTTCGCTGTGGATGGTCGATGTGTTGTCGATGTTGCTGTAGGTACACCAAACCCATTACGCATATCCAAGCCCAAAGCACTACCAGGCGCACCAGGTTTTGGTGTAGTAGTTGTTGTCGTCGTGGTGGTTGTTGTAGTTGTTGTGGTGCTAGTCAAAGGCGCCAAACCAAAACCAGGTCGTGCAACGCTACCACCAGCTTGTGGCCGTGCGCCACCGCCATAACTCAAATCCAACCCGGAAGGTTGTGACTTGAGTGGCTGATACGGTGCAAAACCAGGCGGTAAATTTGGTTGTGCTGTACCTGGACGCCCAAATGTATTCACATTACCAGCAGTGCCAAATGTACCGCTGCCACCATAGTTTGCACTTGCCGGCACATTCTGTGGGCGTGTGCTGGCCGGCTGCAGTTGTGGACTACCCACGGGCGGTCGTACACCTCCAGGCGTCGTAGGCGTATGTGCTGCTGCCTGCGATGTAGGAGTTGGCCACTGTGGTGGATCGCGGCCATTACCACCATACGGTGAGGATTCAGGTGTGTCGGGACGTGGACCGAGTGGCATTAGCGGCGCATGTGGATTGATAGCAAGTGGTGGCGGCTTCTGTGCACCGGCCGCATTTGGTTGTATACGTGGCGCATTAGGCTGAGGTTGTGGCTGAGCCTGCACTGTTTGTGTCGGTGTTGGCACTTGGCGTGGTGGTGGTGATGGTGTTGTGGTTGTCGTTGTCTTGTCACTGCCGCCGCCGCTACCAAAGAGACGACTGAACCAGCCGGATTTCTTTGTTGTTTGTTCCTCCGGTGGCGCTGGTGTTATCTCGATTTCGGTCTTGTAGCTGGCTGGAAGAAGGAGGCGGAGGGGATTATGTTTTTTTTTTAGATTTTATTAATTTCAAAATTATATAAATTATTTTTCTGCAATGTTTGTGGGTCAGGAGTAAATTGAGCAGATAAGCTGTGTTAAGAAAACAAAATATTTATAAATTAGACGGAGATAAGAAATTTCAGCAAACAGAAAAAGTAAAATTTATGATTAGCTTTTGGTTATAATAATATATTGTTTTTTAATTATATGATTTTTTGTTTAATTACTTAAGCCGTGAACATTATTATTATTTCTTTGTTTATTTTCTTTTTTGTTTTTTAACATGTTTTTAATGGTTATGATTTTTAAGTTAAAAAATTATTATTATTATTTTGTTTAATTATGGAGAATAATAAATTTATTTTTTAAAGAAATATTTTATATATATTTTTAATATTTTCCAATTATAAAAATTATTAAAATAATGTTGTTATATTTATTTGTTTACTAGTTTTATTCAGTTTTGTTTTTTTGGAATACTAAAATTGGGAAAAACCTCTCTTTTTTTTTTAATTTTTGTTATATTAAAATTTATTTTTATACAAACTTATTTATTTAATATTAATTTTAGTTATACAAATTATTCAGTTTTTTATCTAATTTTTTTCCCTTAAATTTTTGTAATATTTTTTTTTATTAATAGTTTTTCATTTTTAAGTTTTCTAGCATTGATTTTGTGTGTATTATATATTTCCTTTACAACAATAATTATTATTACTTTTTAGATAACAAAACTCTTTATTATTTTTTTTTGTTACAAAAATTATGGTGCTTTTGTTAACCTTTTTTCTTACTAAATTTTGATTGACAATTTTTTTAACACCAAATTATTTTAGCTCAATGCTTTTTTTAAAAATAAAAAATAGTTATTAAATGTAATAATAATTTTTAATACAATTTTTTATGTATTAAAATGTATTAGTATTATTTTTTGTTATAAGAATTACATTTTTTTTTAAATAATTATTATTATTTTTTATTATTAATTTTTTTAGCTTTAATTTTTTGTGTATTAAATGTATTATTATTTTTTTATGTATTAAAAATTATTTTTTTGTATGATAATAATAATTATTATTTTTTCAGTTACAACAATTATTAGCTGCAATTTTTTTTTAATATTAAATTTCGTTTTAGGTTTATTTCGTTTTTATTTAATAAAATAAATATTTTAATAAATTTTGTAGACACTTTTTTCCCGGAATCTATTTGTTTAATGTGACATTTGTTATTTTTTACCAGAAAATATTAGATATTTCTCAATGTAAAAATACAATAAATAGTTTATGTTTTATTACTATATTAATTTATTTTATAAAACTTTTTCTGGTATTTTTTTTAATTGTTAAAATCAATGTTCTTTTAGGTTTTTAAGTCGTGGGATTTCTAATTTTGAAACACTTTCCTTTATTTATTTCTATTTTTAAATATTGTTTATGCAACATTTCAATACCTAGACAAATGTTTTAAGCCTTTTTTATTTATCCATAACATTAGATATTTGTTTGCTTTTAATTTTCTAGTTTTAAATAAATTTTTATAATCATATAATAATATTAATTTTTTTTTAACCCGGATCTCACACCACTGTGCGATTCAGTATTATGTTGTTTAATGAATTCAATTTTTTTTTTGCTTTTTGGCATCTTCATGGATTTTAAAATGCACATACATACATATGTATGTAATGGTTTCAAAAGATTTTTTTTTATAATTTTTTTTGTTTACCTGCGAATTCGCACTGCAGCACGCACAACAACAACACGGCACACACGAAAAATGTGTGTCCGAACTTGAAACGCATGGTTTCGGGAGTTTTCTATTTACTTAAATCACGAAATAATAATAAATTTATTTTTTCTCACTAATAGATTTTCGTTTTTCCTTTTGTTTTCTGCCTTAAAAAATAAATAAAAGCACTTATTTCGGGTAACTGATTCACTCGGCGACTGTCTTCGACTGACACGTACGAATTCCGGCAAATAACTGAGTAGACATTGAATATGAGAAACATACAAAAGCAACGCAGAAACCTGTTGGGTACAAATAACTAAACACTGATCAAGTAGTAGGAATCGCTGCCAGCAGCTCCAGCTGGCGCTGCTCGTGACGTGCGGACAGCGCCGGCTATCGAAAACAAGGCGCTACAATTGGCAGTGGTCGACTGTCAGGAGGTAAAATTTAGCTATTTCTATTTCGAATATTATTGGAATTAAGTCAGATGTATTGTATGAAATTTTGAAAACTTTGGTTATGTTATATGGAAATTTTACATATTTAAAAATAAAGTATTTTTTTTTGGAATATTTTGCTTGTATTTTTAATTTGTAAGTTTTTTCTATTTATGGAGGTTTTGCTAATTTCGAATTTTTGATTAGTATTTGAATTTTTAAACAATTCTATATATGTTTACAATGTTTTTGCAGCCGTGGTTGATGCGGATAGAAAAATTAGCTCCGAAAAATTAACCAAGGATTCTTTAATTTTTATATTCTAAAATGGGTGGAGCGTCTATTTGGTGTAAACTATAATCTCCCTGACCTTTAAAGGACGACATATCGACGGGTCACTCACAGGGAGCTCGTCAAAACCTGTATAAACTCTCTGCCCATGTGTAGCGTACTAGGAATCCAACCAGGAGGAAGAAGAGCTTCAAATGCATCGAGAGGCCAGCATAATGCTGTCATAGTTAAGGTCTGCATACTTTAGTTACCTATACAGAATTGACACCAACATGCCCAACAACAAGAAAAACACTCATCGTCTATCATTTTGTGACTTTGAAAATGCAAAAAATATTTTTTACGATTTGATTATTTATCCATTATTCAAATTAAGATAGGATTAAATTTCAAATCTGTGAAGTTCAACAATAACAAAATATAGAATAAGCAAAATTAAAAAAATTGAGGGTTAAAGCTCCCAAAGTAAGGTGAAAATTTTAAAATAATATAAAAATTAATATTTATTTATTGAAAAAAAAATTAAATTAGTAAAACTTTTACTTATATACTATATTATATATGATTTTATATTGCTTTATACTATTATTTATGTAATATATTGCTAACAAACAGAAAAGATTTTTTTTATATAATATATCTATATTTTTATTTTTAATAATATATATCATTCGTCGATTTTCCATGTACGTAAAAGTCTAAATAGTTCTAAGTAGCTTCAGAAGCATAAATACATATATTTTTATATACAACATTTATATACTTTCAATTTATATAATATTTTTCGCTCCGAAAATATCAAAATAAAAGCAATAACAAGATTCAATTCAATAGAATTATAAAGAGAAAAAAGTGCACAACCATCAATGACCCGAATGGCCCTAACAAACAAACCGACAAATGAGATAAGCAAGTGAGCGACTTTCAATTCTATTAGAAGCCAATTGAAGAAAAATTATTAATGCAAATTAAAAAAATGGTATGAAAAAATTAAAAAAAAATTAAAACTTGTTAATAACTGCAAAAAAAATTTTTTATCAATAAAAAAAATAAAAAAATAATAATAAAAAAAAATTATAAAAAAAATTATAAAAAAATTAAAATAATTAAAAAAAAATATAACATATATAATTTATAGATGAATAAAAAATATCTAAGCTAAAAGAATCAAATGAAAACATTTTTGATAATTTCATATTAAAAATTATTATAGAAAAGAAATAATTTTTTAAATTTAAATTTTAAACTTTTTGTTTAATAAATAAATTAGTTAGTATTCTGAAAAAAATTGTGCAATTTAGAAAAAAATAGAAAAAATAAGAAATAGATAATAATAAAAGAATAAATAAGAAAAAAATAATTTTTCTTTAATTAAAATTGAAGGAAGTTTAAATAAATAAAAAAGGGACGCAACTAAAAAAATTTGTAAATATAAGTTTTCTATAACAAAGCACAAAATATATAATTTTAAATATTTATTAAATTTATAAATAAATAGAAAAAGGTACTAAACTGAAAAAAATAATAAATATGTATTTTCTATATAAATTTAATAAAAAATCATAAATAAACTTTTGCTTCAATAAATGAAAATAAACAATTTTGAAAAATTAAAAGAATCTAAAAATAAATACTATTAAAATTGAAGATGTTTGAAATCAAACGTAAAATATAAATAATAATGTTTTGCTATAAAAAATTAAAAAAAAATTAAATTTGAAGGGCTTAAAAATAAATTTAAAAAGCGCTAGACTGAAAAAAGGATTTTTCGCTATATAAAACTATTTAAATAAAAAAAAAATATTTAATAATGAAAAATGTAGAATTAAATATACGAAAAATTTTACTAAATTGAAAAAAATATACAAATAAATTTGGGTCATAACAAAATAATAAAAATTTATCTTTATAGAATTTAATAATACCGAACTGGAAATATTATCGCTGTATTAAAATTAAAAAAAAAAATTTAAAAAATACTTTCAACTATTTAAATCATAAAAATATATTAATTTTATAAGCAAATGGGAAATTTAAATAAAGAAATAAAACAAAATTTTAAAATAAAATTGTTTAAATACAATTTAAATTTTCTTATTTATTTACAAAGTTGCTAACCTTGAAAAAATAAATGAAAATTTGTTTCCTTTATAAAAATTCTAAACAACCATTTCGAATGAAATAAAATGAAACAGATCAAAGAAAAAAATTAGTTTAGGAAACTAAAAAATTGCAAAAAGGTTAAAAAATTTCACAGAAAATATAGCGTAAAATATACTGAAAATAACAATCCAATTACAGCACCAAATATAGAACGCCTTGGGCAATTTTAGTCTCAGCAAGCAACAACAAATAAATTGTAATTGAGCGTCTTAATTAATACAAATTCGCCTCAACTAAAAAGAAAGGTTGCATTGAACGTAGGCATGTACATAAATACGTAAATAAACATTTTTACATATAAATATAAATACACTTACACTCCCAAATTATGTAAATAAGCGTATAAGTGAAAATAACTGATTCATTTCACACAATTATTTACTTGAGATTGTGAAAAAAAAATAAATAAAAATACAACAAAAAATCTTATTATGCAAACAAAGACAGAATTAGTTGCTTTCATTTGTTACTTGTTTTTTTTATGTTTTATAGTTTTTTTTTTGCCAATGATTCACTTAACTATTCGGTAGTGTTGTAATTGCAAAGCAAAGTGGGATTTTGTGATTATTAACACCAACGACGAAGTTGTAATGCCCTACAGTTCTTAGTTTAATTTCCCTATATTAGTCTGTGGAATGACAGAAAAGCAATGCTTGTAAAAATTTTGTATAAAACTTTCTTTTTTTTTTTGCACCCTAACATCACCATGCAACAATGACATCATGTGATGCTGTTCCTATGATTTTTGTTGAATTTCATTTCCGAGTATAACATTATTAATTTGTGAGTGAAATGATTTTTAGAAAATTAAAAAAAAAAATTATAAAAAATCATATGATGTATATTTCATACCACTGCATTACAACCACAGTTGCAAACAAGCAATTACATATTTTACATTATGAACTGATCTTTATTTTTCGTCCAATAAGCTGGTGAATGTGTTTGATATCATGTGATGTTGGTTGCATAAGTTTTGATTTTATTATTTGTATAAATTTATTAGTATAAGCAATTGGTACTTATGTGCAATTGATTAGTAAAAAATCCCAAAAAATTTTAAATGTAACAAAATTACATCAATATCGCGTTCTTGCACCACAACTCTGGCTTCCGTTAATCAACGATATCTCTTTACACTTGATTTAAGTTATCAAAGTAAAGAGAACTATTTTTTATTTTTATTATTTTAATTATGTAATTGATTGTGGATCTACATAAGAGAGAGTTTAAATATATTAAATAAAAAAGAAGTTAGCACATATCTAAATCACATCACTTGTTAATACTGACATCATCTGATGTTAATCATATAATTTTTTTTAGTTTTATTTATTATTTTATTGTTTGATAAATATGTTAGTTGATTTGTATAGTGGATTTGGAAAAAAATAAGAAAATATGTATGTGTGCATGTACATATATCATATGACATTATCATATGCATATCACATCACCACATCACCACTTCAATAACCCTAAAAGGAATAATGTAATCACGAGATGCTATTTTGTTAATAAACTGCTTGTATTATTGATAGGAAGAAAATTAGTATATTTGAAAAAATATATATCGCATGATCTTCACATCACATCACGACTACTGAGATTTTACTAAAACCATATTTCTTCAACGTAAATAATGCTGGTCCTGCTTGGTTAAAAAAAAAATAACAAAAGTAAAATAATAAAATAATCACATCTTTTTTTCACAGAACTAATTTTACCGCTCTGTTTATTGATAATTGTACAATAAATATTTCGTCACTTTCTGTAACTTGGATATGATCGGGCTAAGTCGGTATCAGTGATTATGTGCCATTTGTTTTTGAAGCATTTTTCCTATATTAATGCTCATTTTAATAAATTAAATTTAAATAATCTAAAAGGTCGCATGCTGATATCATGCGATCTGTAAAATCCACGTCATATGATGCAAAAAACCATTTTGCATATATTTTGAAAAAAATGTTTCATTAACAGGAATTGAAAGTAAATTTGTTATGACAACCACTTTCAAAAATAAATATACAGTACATCCTGCGATCTACTGATCAAACGCACGATAAAACAAAAGACATGTTATTATGCCAAGGAAATGTAAGAAAAAATTGTTTAAAATTTTTTCTTCACGTTTTATACATAAATATGCTCTTTGTAACCACTGAAGCGATGTTTCGGTCGTATTTATTTGTAGGTATGTATTATTAACTTTATATTTTTCTGTGTAAATAAAATCATGTTTAATAGTGATGTTGACATCACATGATACTCAGATCATCAGGTGATCGTATTTTATACATTTCTTATCGACGTGATTGGAAATATATTTTACATCATTCCGACTAGGCCT